GCGCTACTGCGTTTGTATCATCGAGTACTTTGAGGATACGGTAAAATAATAACTCATACAAGCCTCAAAATGACGGTAAAAAAAGTCAACAATCTTGCCTTTAGGGACATTTTCGTCCATTCACTCCTTTAAAATTAATAAAATCATAAAATTATAGACGGGTTGTTACATACATTAATCAAAATTAACAAAAAAATTATTGTACCAAAATATGGGTACATTCTTCAAAACCACACAAAAAATAATAGATATTAGGCTTAATAACATTAGTAAATTTCTTTGATTAAACTTGATATGGATAGATTCTCAAATCAAGAAAAAGGGTACATTTTACATACAACAAATTGGTATATTTAAGAATTGGTGCATTTTAAGATCAAAAAATTGAAAAATGACATGAATGGGTACATATAAGATTAAAAAATTGGAAACCTTTTTCTAAAAAATTAAGGTGTACAAACTTATTCTATTTTTTTTTAATTATTTTGGAAATGTTTTGAATTGAAAATTAGTTAGGAGTTCAATAAAGGTGTGAGATTAAAATTCTTAATCAATTATTAATTTTTATTTTAAAATTATGTAACTGACATGTAAATTCATTATTGCATTAATGCTAGGGACTTTGATCAAAATTTGAAAACTAATAAGGTTTCAGTCAATGAACATTAGTAACTAGGACCAGATACTAATTTTTTCTTTAAAAATACAATGATCTAATTTTATTTCTTCAATTGAAATGATGCGACAAGAGTCTGAGATACGAGAGTTTGAAAATTAAAACAAAAAAAGCAAACACTGAAAACTAAAAGCTTGATTTTGAAAACTCATGAGCTTAATTTGCCTTTGGAAATCCGTGGGATCTGCTGAAAAGGGATTTGAATGCTCCAGTCTGAGGAACATGCATAACGCACGTTAAGAGTTGAGACAAAGAAAGGTCGATGAACAAAGAAAGATTTATAGACGTTCGTGTACGTAGAGAGTTGTCGTTTGGTTGGAAATATCGTGTGTGTGTGCGCGCGCGTGTGTATTTATATATCATATATATCTTTCATCATTGTACAAAGTCTCACGCAAATATTCTTTTATATTCATTCATATACATATATAACATCAACGGGAACGGACCAGAGGAATTTCCATTGATATATTCTGACACCTATTGATACGAATACATGAATAAATATTGTGTGATGTTTGTCTTTATATCGATATATAAAGGTATGGTTATGCATGCACCGATTTTATTTTCTGCACATTCTTGTTAATTTTTCCTATTGATTTTCTTCAATAATTTGATCAAAATCCGAAAATCGAGATGTGTATGTAAGAGGTAAAGTTAGGTATGTGAATAACATCACCCTATATAAATCATGATTTTTCCTCGACCCTTTTTTTTTGTACTACCAATTATGATGTAAGTGGTGACATGGTCTGATGTACATGAATTTCTTCTTTAGTTTTAGTAGAATGAAATTCTCATTGAAGGAACCTTACATAAACTTATAAGAAATTCATATATTGCTAATGATTTTGTGGTGGAATCTCAACTTTTTTTGTATTGTTTCGAATTCAAAGCCTTCCTTCCCATCTTGATCGAACTTAAATGAAAGATGGCAGACAGTCGGACACAATGTTCTCATCAACTACCTAAATCATACAGGAACGATGTGAAATATTAACTCGTCTTAATTCATTGATAGTAAATCAACTGTTTATTAGATTTTTGAATATTACTCTTTATTCCTTTGCTGACCAGAAAATAAAAGGGCAAAAGAATAAGAAAATATATTGTCCTAACTCCTAAGTTCTAAGCATATCATACTCCCAGACCTAATGTAGCCACCCTACGTTGAAAACTCGAGTACGGTAGCCTCCCTTGTGCATCGCATCGCCACCCCCCTACGCCCAAAAGCATCATATTCAAACTCCGGCTAGGACAGAAAGGGGGTACAAAACTGTAGTCTACGGTCAGACAGGAACATGAGGCACCTTTGATAATTGCTGCAAAATTGAGGAGAAATACCAATAAAGAAAAAGTTGAGGAGTATTACTGCAACAGAGAAAAAAGATATTTGGTAAACAAATCGAGTGGTTTTTTCATTTTTCACACACTATCTATTTTTTGTCATAATTTTTTTTTTTAATTTATTAGATTTGATGATCGAAAATTCAAAAGCATATAAAAAGTAAAAAGGAATGTTTGCTCTAACTGTGTAAGCTTTGACAACTAGAATTTAGGTTCTGAAAATTCCGGGAGCTCCGAATCAGAACAACTAAAGTGTTTTTAAAATTCTTAATTCTGATAGAAATCTGACCTTGTTTTAACTAATATGATATGCTTGCCAAAAAATTAGGATTAATACCATAAAATCTGTCAATAAAGTACTACCATAATTATCATAAAACTAGGCCTTTGCTAGCTATGGCTGCACACACCTAGAGGTTTGAAGGAGAATATGACACTGATGTATGACTGAAGCTTGACCTTAGAAAACCACCTGCTTCTTCTTCCTTCTCCCATGCGTGAAATTTGATTCGATTCCATGTACAGAAAATTAACTCATCATCCACACTCGATGTATTGTCCTTTCTCGCAATCGCAACCCTTGATTCTTCATCGACATCCGTATTTCTCACGTTAAAAAAAGTACGGTGGACGGTGCAGATTTCGCTAGGTTTGGGGTACGTTTGCATACCTTCTTCTTTTGCCTTCCTGGCATGATCTGGTTGACTTTACAATGTTTGGATTTCGACATAAAGTCCTCATCAGCGGATGCAACAGTTAATACAAGAGGAAACACAGTAGTAATAAAGAGTATGAAGGGTATGAAGGGTCTCTCGGCATGCAGGCAAACCTAAAGTGATTGAAAAAAAAAAAACTCAAATCACACATATATATATATATATATATGTACTCATCTCTCTTTACCTCTGTTACTGTATTCTCTATAATGCCTAAACGCAGGAAGCTGAATACTAATAATAATGTCATAACATTAATTTACCATTTAAATAATAACTGTATATGGCTCGACCTCTGTAGCTGCAGACACATTGAAAAATGGTTAGGGTACTTTGTCCTATACCTTTCAAGTGACCAACCATAACCCCTTCAAATTGAAGAGATTCTTGTGTGAGAAATCCGGAGGTGCTAGGTCATCGGAGTGGTGTGAGAGGGGAGTGCGGTCATTACATGTGGTAATTGTTGGTCTCAAAACAAGAGGTGGTGAGCTATAGGGAATTTTGTTTCTAAAGTGCACACGGCCACGTGATTCAGATGCCAGACCTAAAATATTTTCATTTGTGTTATGTATTAATCCTCATTGATTTAACCACTAATGAACTTAAATGGAATTTTACCCTCCAACCATGAAGCAAATTAATAAATTGCCATCATGCCATTCCAATTGCCATGCTGAGTATTTTAGTTTATTTTTTATTTTTTCATTTTATAAAGGGACATACATATTTTTATGCTGTCTCGTTGAATGCTGCCAACCCATTTAAAAGAGGGGACCTAGCATTGTACATTATTGATTCAAAATTTCAAGTCGGTTCATTTACTTCAATTCAATCATTGATTTCAACTTACCCATATCACAAAGCATATTCCTCTTCGACCATGGCAATCAAAAGAAAAACAAAGGGAAGGAGGACGTTTACGGTCCTGGTTGGTCCAGTTGGTAAGGACACGCTTGTTGTTAATCTCTAATCCAAGTTTAATCTCTGCTATTAGCCGTTTTATTGGTGCGTGATCTTTAATTCAGATGTAAATCCATATCAGGTGACAGCTAACAGTTAGGTGTCACGCGTAAGTCCTTTCAAATTAAAGTTGTAGGGCATATCCTAGTGTTGGTGGTGAGAGTAGTCAGATCTCCCTCTAAATTTTTTTTAAACGAAAAAAAAGGAAGGAAGACATTCAATAATGTTGTACAAAGAGGTTAGGCTACTCGCAAGAAAAAAAAAAATTGTAGATAGAGATATTCAACCACGTCATATATGATGCTTATTTTACATAAGCATAGTAACTTTTACATTATGAGTCTCAACTAATTCATGTTGTTTTATACGATACTAAAGCTTTTTGAATTAGACAGTCGTATCAAAATGTATCTTTATTCAGATCACAGTAAGTGTGTCATTCCAAAGCAAAATTGTAAAATAATTTATTTCATGAAAAAATGAAAATTGTGAAGAGAAATAAACCAATTTTTACTTTCTATTTTATCATGGAAGGCATGCAAAATTTGTACTTGGTTAGTTGGTTTAGGGTTTAAGGGAGCTTGGCCATCCCGAAGAGAGATGTTTCGCAAGGACCGCCCCTGCCCTCGCCAAAGACAACAAATAACATAATAACTGATCCCAGTACTTTGGACTTAAGTTCCTTATTCCTTCGCATGTGCATGTTTAGGGCAAAAAGTTTTTCATGTATCTGAATACTTTTCATTTTTTTTCTATCCCGTACACGTGATATAGTTTCTAAATATTTGACTTCGGAAAATAAAAAGAGACTGTCGAGTGTCGAGGGGAATACAAAAGGACAGAAATATTAGAGAGAAAGACAAATAAACAATGATTTATTTTCTTCTTTTTGTTATTTGGGTCGGGTAAATGAAAATAATAATTTCATGGCGGGGCTTTTTGTATCATGACGACGTTGGCGTATATGATCAGAACCATAGAATTCATGAGAGAGAAAGAAGAGAGAGAAAGAAAAAGGTCAAAGCGCAGCAGTTGTAGCACATCCTCCCTATTTGTATAGGGGTAATAATTAGAGAGAAGAAGAAGGGTAAAAATAAACTTTAAAATAAAGATCCATCAGAATTTCAGAAGCTCGTGAGTGAGTGTGATGCGTTTTTAGAGAGAGAGAGAGAGAGAGAGAGAGAGAGAGAGAGAGAGAATTTTCTGTATTTTTCGATTCTATAAGTTTATTATTAATATTTTGGGTGCCAGTGGGTGCAAGGTTTGCAAGAAATAAACAGAAGGCGCAGGCAGCAGCAGAAGCAGCAGGAGAGAGAGAGAGAAGGGGGTCCTGGGTAATGGATAGAATAGTACTGGAAGGGTTAGCAGGGGAGGCAGGCTAGGGAAATACTAGCAATTGTAGCAATAGCAAATAGGCATTATCAGACTCTTTAAGGAATTTACAGAGCTTCCCAGCTCGTCTTATCTTTTTCTCGTGATCTCTCTCTCTCTCTTCTCTCTCTCTCTCCTCTCTGAGATAATTGCTTTAAACTCCTTTTCTTTTTAAATGCCCTCTCAGTCTCTGCTGTGACCAACACACACACTTTCAACGGCTTTGAACTTTTTAAAGAGAAGACCAACCCGGAACGACGCCGTTTCGTTCTGGTCTCGACGCCGATCCTGAGGGTGTGAAGGTTGCAAGGAGTTTTTTCAAGGGATTTGGGAAAGACCCAGGTGGCTGGGAACGTTTGGACTTTTGAAGGCAATACAAGCAAATTTGAGGAAAAAAAAAAAAATGACTACAAGTAGTTGCAGTGCAAGGAACGGCGCTGTTAGGCAGTATGTGAGATCCAAGGTGCCCCGTTTGAGATGGACTCCTGATCTTCATCGCTGCTTTCTTCAGGCCATTGAAAGGCTCGGAGGCCATAAAAGTGAGCAATTACGAAACCCCACCTTCTATTTTTGTTTCTTTTATAGAAAATTTTATTGTTTTTATTTAATTTTTTCTTTATTTTCTCGCGCAGTGGCTACTCCAAAACTTGTTCTTCAGTTGATGGATGTCAAGGGGATCACCATTTCTCATGTTAAAAGCCATCTCCAGGTCTTTTTGCTTTTTTCTCCAGTTCTTCTAAAGTGCTTTTGTTTGTCTAATAGGTTAAAAATTCATTTGCTTTCACACTTTTCTTCCTTTCTTTTTATTAATTTGCTTCCCTTCTCCTTCTTCTAATCATCAGATGTATAGAAGCATGAAAGGCGAACCGATTAGAAGACAAGGTAAATATCCATCGATTTATTTTTGCCGATTTAGTGTAAAGTTTTCATCTTTTCGCATACCCTTACTTTTTGTCGGCCGATTTATTTTAAAAGTTTTCATCTTTGTACATGCCCATAATTTATTTTGGCCGATTTCTTGTCAAAGTTTTCATCTTTTTATATTCTCATGTATGTTTCTCGACTGTCCATTAGTTTTCCAGTAAAGGGTTGTGTCCGGAGCTAGAGTTGCAGAGTTATGAACTCCCTCGATGGAATAAATTTATGAAATATGAGGACTCAGCTGCAACTGCACCGTCACCTCATTGATTATATATTCCCCCCTTTAATAATACATATTTATTGTTTGTAGTCTACTTTTAGTTGATGCCCCAAACAGGTCACACCAAAAGTGAACATTTCTTCTTTACGATCTTCTAGTATTGGCACTTCTCATGAAGCCTGAAACATCGTCCTAAAGAACGTATTCTCTCTCTTTTGGGTTTATTTCTAACATTTTTTTGATATTTTATTTTATAAAATTACAGCTAGGGTGCAAACAAGAAAACTACATTCGCTTGAAGAGGCCGAGGATGATGGGTGTGTTGAAGAAGTAAATGGTTTGAGCTTTTACCCATCTTCCAAACCACGAGAGAATCCGATTCCCAGGTCATCTGCAACCCCCGCCGTTCAAAAAGGTTAGGTTACACCTGCACCTGCACCACCAGCTACCAATTTGTACTCTGCCGGCACAGCTATATATCCACTATCTTTTATTTTTCCTTCTTTATCTTTGGTTTCTTTTTGGGGTAAAGATTTTTTGTTTTGATCAAATGTCAAAAAAGTATATTAAAGCGAAAAATACTTATGTTCCCTTGTATTTTATATATTGGTAGTTTTGGACGTTAGATCTTGATCATTGAACTGCTAAACAAGAGGCGAAAAATCTCAATGTGTAGAATTTCGCGGAACGTATTTGAAAATCCCAAAATAAAGATGGCGTGAATCGTGTGATCAGAAACAAACAAAAAGGAACTGCATGAGATGTCTTTGCTTTTATCTGAAAGTTGCTTTCTTGTTCCTTGATACTTATTCTTCTTTTTGATTATTTTATTTATTTATTTATTTACCCATCAGCAAGAACGGAGACGATGAGTTCAAACATATCAGAGAATTCGCAGCCGCAGCAGCAGATGCAATGCAGCCAAGGAGGAATATATGAGAGAGTCTCAAATCCGTACTCTTTTGATGATTATGTGCTGGCATTGGGAATTAAGGAGGATCCTCACCCTTCAGCCTTCAAATTTGCTTTGCCAGAGTATGAGTTCTTGAAGGTTCTCTCTCTCTCTCTCTCTCTCTCTCTCTTCCAGCTGCATTTCAATATTTTGATTTTTAAATGACTAAGTTGATTGCAATGCTGTTATTTGCTTTTCTGGTTTCAACCAGGAAATCCAGACATGCCCAGTTATGACCACAGAGAGGCTGGGAGGGGGCATGGATGGAATAATGTGCATGATTTATTTTAAGTCAACCTGCGTCACCTCTTTGCCTAAACAGTTCTCTACTTTTTGAAAGTGTTCAGTAGACAGTAGACTAGTCCCCTTCTTTATTTTATGGAAATTCTCCGGTTTATTTATTGTCATGAAATTGAATAGACAAAGAGAAAACGAGGTGTGCAAATGAAGAAAATGAGTGTACAAAAATAATTTTCGGTTTTTAAATTTAGCTAATATACATAACGAATCACAATTCTTCAATTAAAATCTCTGGTTTATTTTTTTGTTGTGCAATTCGTTCTTCTTCCTTGTTTAATGATGGAAAAGGTGGTTGGGGTGCAGCATTTACAAAACAAACGGTGGTTTGGCCTTGAAAATATATGATCCCATACTGCCCTATTTAATTTCGAGGTCCACCTCTTCCTCATGCCTTGTCGTTTACATGAACTACATTCTAAAAAAGTTGTTGGACAAGTCCTTGGTTTTGCCTGCAAAAACTCTTACATTCTGTGGTCCAATTCTGATTCGTATAGATACAGGTCCCCTCCTCTCTCTTAAACAGTAAATTCAAATTATTAAAACGTCCTTTTAACCATTTAGAGCGAGAGAGACTTGTGTGGACGCTACAATGTTACCTCAGACTAATATGAGAAAAGTAAAACATACGACATGTAATATTTGCTAGCATCTTAAGAGGTGTATGTAAGTCATTTCCGTTCCCAGTTAGACATTGTCTCATTGAATCATTTTCATGTAGCATTGCTGCATCTCTTTGAAAATCAAATGTGACCTACTGACATGGTGTTTAATTAATTGTCCTTCCCCCAGGTTACCACCAAACAAGAGGCAGGAAGAGCACATGACAAAGACGACGACGAAGCCGGTGAATGTGAATTATCACTGTCCCTCTCGTTACACCATCCCCCCTCCCACAAGAGTAATGCTTCTTCAAGTGACTTAAGTGGTGCAATCTCATCGTCTTACTCTATGTCTTACTACAAAGACTGCTCCGCCTCTTCTTCCGGGAATCGGAGCCTTAATCTGAATCTTTCGATTGCTCTCTGCAGTAACTGATGCTGCTGTAAAAAGAAAACTCATCTGTTTTAGGCTAGCAGGTTTTCATGCCCTCACTCACCCCACATTCTGTTTGTTCTTTTACTGTTGCTGTAGTTAAGTTACCGCTTAGGTCTTCGGGTAGTTTATTAGTCCTTGAGTTCCACTTTTGATTCTGGAACAGCAAAGCATATATCTTTGTTATGAGCTCTGAATTTTCAAGTACGATTGAATATATATCCGTCAGGAGGACGGTGTAGAACAAAGAATGTATCTTTGACAGCCGATACCAGGCCAAAAGATTGTTACAGTTTGACAAATCAGCTGCATTTGGAACTTAAATTTCCATGAGTTCAATAACAAAAAAATACAAATAACTGAACTATGAATGGCCACCACCACCACATTCGATACTGCTGCATCCCCAACCACCTACCATCATCACCATCACCGTCGTAACGAAAATCGCCATTGTTGGCACCGCATCTGCCTGCATCACCACATACGGTTGTCGCCACCACAGTTGTCGTCACCACCACCACTTGCCGTAAGCACCCGCCCTCATCACTGCCGTCGCCACCATCATGACTAACATATCTCCTAACTAAAGTCTCTCTCGTTTATATATTAATGGCTTTATGTCCAAATTAAATTCCATATTTAACTTTCATTGTTCTTCAAAGTTAGTCAAACAAGAAAATCTACAAATTCTAAAAATAAAATTTTGTTATTTCAATTCGCGTCATTTTAAACTAATCTTAAATTTACTCATTCAACCGTTTCTGAATGCTTCATTATCCTAATAAAGTAAAATTAAAATCAATTAATTTCTTTTTGTTTTGTAATAGAATAAGGTTAGTGTTGTGGTCTATTTTATCTGATAAGGTTAAAGAGGGCCGACGGCAAGGAGAAGAGAGATAGTGAGATGTGTTTGTAGAATTGTAGGGGAATGTGTGTGGTTATCCCTCATAAAATATGCCTTTATTTATAGTAGTAAAAGGAGAGAAGATATTCCTTCATCCCCAAGGAATACAAGATACAATAGGAAAGGATAATTAGAATCAAATCTAATCTAGGATTTACACAATCACACTTAAATTATGAATGTTTACAACACTCCCCCTTGAATGTGTAAATACTCAAGGTAAATTTAGCATCATGCACAAGTTGAAGAAGTCGACTCATCGGCACTGATTCTAAGGAACAACGCTTATTCTTGATAAGGTAGGAATTTGCATAAGTAGTATGTCTCACTAAAAAATCCTAAGGCTATGGCAAAAACCCGAGGAGGGACAAAATCCATAGTCTAAGGAAAAATGTGTGAGCAGTGCAAAGTCAAAAGAAACATCCACGGGACGTCATCAGGGATCTGACCAACCCAAGGTGAGTGTCTCGTTAAAACCTAATGATGTGGTAGAAACTAACACACAAATATCGTTCAAACATTAGCAATATGCATGTATTTCATACTTGCGCTATTTCACTTTAAAATTCAAACTCGAGTGTATAAAAGGAAACATTATCAGTTCTAGCCAATGCGATTATATCCATGTCTGCAACAGTACGAACTAAGGCGGATCTTTTAAAAATGTAAGAACGAATACATGAAGAACGAAGAAAAGAAAGACCTCTGCCACAGAAAAACGAGACACAAAACTGGGATGGCTGTTAGGGTCCAACAAATATCTGAATCAGTTGGATAATATTTCATAACATCTAACACCAGACGTAAACCTCCCATTTTCATCATCAGTTGGAGAGCTTTAGGATTCGAGTTGGAACTCGCAGGATCTTGAGCCATTTGGTGATCATTGCCTTGGATCAAAGGGCATTTCAGTGTTGTTTGGAGGTGCATAACCATTGCTCTGCTCGTCACTCAAGAATTTGATTTTCGTCGAGAGGCTTATGTTATGACCCCTCACTACTTGAAGATGATGTGGGCAAGGATTGATTTTCTGCGTTCTGTTCTTGAGATGGGCTACAATTTCGTTTTCACAGTAAATCTCTTATGCTACAAGAACTTGAACTGTTAAGCGTAACTGTCAAAGTTTGTCAGTTTAAAACTTACTTATGAAACAACCTGATGAGGAACTTTTAGACTCGAATAACTTTAGTCGAAGATATGTTCGGTAGGGCTCTGCTCTAAATCATTAATGGTTTCCCGATTCTGTGTTGATTCTTTATTGATCTCATCCTGCAGCTCCTTAGGCGATTTAAGTATTAATTGCAAAATACATCTGTAAGACTCTGTGCAGACATTCTTATGTACTTCGTCGTTGTTCTCTCTGTAAAACTTTAGAGACTCAGTTTGTTTTACTTCAATTGCATGCCCAGTTAATGATGGGATGCATGTATTTATATTAACTTGAGGATTACAGAAAGGGTTTGAAAACCCGAGATACAGGGAGCTTTCAAAAATACAAATCTGATCACAAAAGATTGCATGCGCAGCTTGAGTTACAACAAACATTTGAAAACCAAAATCCTATAAACTAGGAACAGCTAACGATAAGAGTTTAAACTGATGAAGACTCCTCAAGTTGCAGGAATGTCGCTGTGGGCTTGACTTCGTCTAACACTCTCATCCTCCAGGATGCTGATGTTATGTGGTTCAGGGATCCATTTCCACAGTTTTATGAGGATGCAGATTTTCATATTGCATGCGATCATTTCTTTGGAAGCTCGGATGATTTAAAGAACTGACCGAATGGAGAAAGTCCAATAGCAGGTCAATAGCGTTCTACAAATTTCGGTATTTCTCACGGGAAACCTACCCTGGGTTCCATGATCAGGATGTCCTCAATATTATCAAGTTTTATCCAACCACCATTAGTATCGGACTGAAAATAAAATTTTTGGATACGGCTTACTTTGGTGGATTTTGTGAACCTAGTAAAGATTTGAATCAAGTTTGTACAATGCATGCAAATTATTGTAAAGGTCTAGGTAGCAAGCTTCATGCCCTTAGAATCCTGGTTCAGAATTGGAAGCGATCTGTGTCCTTGCCGCCAAATTTGAAGAGATATTTGATGGGTTGTCCTGCACAACTGCAGGTAAGACGCTTCAATTACTATGGTTATTGAAAATGTGAAGTTATTGTTGCCGAATGTAGTAGCACACATCTTCAATCACTGTTACCTTGTTCATTACTTTTCCGTTATTTTCTAATACGGTTCTTAATTGTGAACATTGATTCCAGCCTTGGTTCTATTCCGTCACTATGATGCACCGGGGACCGATGCTCAACATGGTTCGCAAGAATGATGAAGCCGTGTATGAGTTTTAAAGCTTTTTGCCACACAGGTGGTTTCCAGTTCTGAATGCGGAGGACATTCTGTATTTGCTGGTATATAAGCCTTCTTGAATGATAGAAAACTGTGGAAGTGGTGCAAAGGGTTGGTTCGGAGAAAGGACCCGAGGCTCCCGGGGAAAGAGGTGATCGTAAACCATACATATGACGGGCCTCGCAAGGTTTCTCCTTTCACCAAGAACTCTTTTATCTTCACATGTTCACATGTTCACATGCTTCCTCACCTGTAGTGAATCTTCAAGCCAAACACGTGGATAATATGAATTAGGTGATGTGGAGCATGTTTGGCCGTTGGACTTCACACGTAGGCCAACCTGCTTTGATACCATGAAGAAGTTGAGGTTTCATCATAAAACCAATTAACAATATGGGGAGTAGCCCAATCTTTTACAAACCCGTCAATAATGTGAGACTCTTTTACTTTCATATTCTCATATTATAGAGAGAATAGAAGCTAACGCTAAATCCTTAGCAAATTTGTTAGACCATTTTTTTTTGTAGTAAATTTTTGCCTTCAGCTGTTGGAACAAAACTAAATTTTTTGCCTTTGGCACTTCTCGACTGCAAGAAAAATACTCTTGATTAACTAAACTACAACACTTGCCCAAATTGCTTATTTAGTGCCGCATTTCTTTTTCAATCTGCGAAATTTCTTACATAAAAAATGGTAAGTGCTTCGTCATCTGGGCCAAAAGAAACTTCAATATAAAAAAAACGTTTGGGCCTCATAATTCAACCCCAAAAAGCCCTAATATATGGGTCTCCCTTCCAAATTCCCAACAGAGCAATAAAGACCAAGTCCTTAACGGTCTGACTGCAAACTACAAAAAATATTTGACCAAATTTGAAAATTGCATGGGAACGTAAAAAGTCCAACTAAAAAGCAACAGAAGAGAGTAAATGAGATAATTAGTTGGTAGGGTTAGGGTTAAGGGAGGGCAGATTGCAATTGCAGAATAATTTGAGGGCAGCGGTTGTAAAGTGGAAGATGCCGCCGTTGTTCAAAATGCAGTGTCCATCTTCTAACTGAACCATCGTCCTCGTGTAGCAACAAACTGCTGTGTTATCACTTAATGGTATCGTCCCTTTAAACATATATATAAAAGGGTGATTTCAAGCCAACAATATTCTCGGTTTTATCGAAAAATTTCTACTCCCACACCTCAAACTGTGATCTTTCAATCACAAAAAAGCAATCTTACGTGTTTATATATATCTGTATGTACGTGTGTGTATCAGTTCACCGCCCACAGCCCCGGTTTTGTTCAACTTGTTGCTGCTTTTTGGGTACGTATGGGGTTTTGACAATTCTACGAAATGTAACTGAAACTTTATTTTAAAGTTTTAAGGCTTATTTCCTTCACTATTATATTATTTTCTTGACATATGTGCCTTTCTCTTTAGACATTATATATTTTTCCAATATATAAGTTACAAAATATTAGTTGTTAGACGGAAATTGATCATCTTCGGAATCCTTACACCTAATCATTATCATTAAACAATCTGGATTCTTGATATTTGATCCAACAACTAAAGTTATTATAACTTTTAAAGTGAGCCTATATTTTTAGTCGTTAAATTAAATTTCAAGAATCCAGATTATTTGATAAGAAGGATTAGGTAGAAAGTACCTGGAAATGATGCCTTTCCTTGTTAGACATCTTGACATTTTATCTTATTATTACACAGACTGTCATCCTCTTGTCTGAAAAGAATCTAATCAATGAAATTACCAAACTTTCAAGTGAGGATTTGACTATTTACTGTACTAAGAGTTACAATCAAGTCCTTAGTGAATTGGAGAAAATCTTTGTTGCAAGGTGTAAGAACTTTTTATTCTTTAGCTCTCTCATCACATAACACATAAATAGATAAGAATAAGAAGGTGCATGCACACTACATATGTAAGTTTTCAACATTGAACAGGATGAGGGGGTCCACTTAGTACCACGTTACATTAGTCAGTTGTGCATGCACGGTGCCAAGTAAGTCTGCTTAAATGTGATGACACGTTATAGTAGTTATTAATTGTCATTTTCATGTTTAATTAGGAAGATAATTTATTCATAAACAACGATTTGAAAATTTGAATTTTAAGTAATTTTCCTGAGTTTATGATGCCTAGAGCAGCTGAATAACATAGCAATGAAAGTTAATCTTTTTCTCAATTAAGACATCCTTTTTTCCCTTTAGCAATTGGGACATTGTATCGAAGCAGAAACTCCCATTAGGATTAATTAGCAAAACTTAATATATATGCTTAGTGGGTACTAATCTGCCCAAGGTCCAAATTTGAATGTCATCCACCCAAAGAAATGAATAATATTACATCCTCATTATATTATCAAAATGACTACACATGAAAGTGATGTGCGTAGTTATAGTTAAGCTGTCATTGTTTCAAAGAATGACAGATCTGCTGCAAGCGTTCTTGTATGAGGAAAAGGGCTTGCTGGCATAGAATAAAAACTGTCATTCTAGAGGGTCGTGTTCGAGAAATTATCTTTTTAGACATATGATGTGACAGTTGATAATTTTTATTTAAATTAATATAAATAGAATCCAATTATCAACCGACACGTCATCTAATTTACAAATGATGATCTAAAAAGAAAAACTATTCCAATCACTTATCAAATTCTACAAATAAAGCAAACTTTGCACTCTATTACATATATATCGACCTTCAAAATCAGAGAAGTGACTCACATCACTTTAATTTATAACTACCTCATCAATTTTTTTTTACTTTGATTTAATTATTGTACAATCTACATGACTGAAAGTAATTGTCCCAAAGCTTGGGCTTGGGAAATGACAGGGTTGATGATGATGATAGCAATTTATCATTAGTGGTGTAAAAATAGATTTTCCCAGGTAATTGTTTATCGATAGTGGTTGGATTAGGTATTTTCTTAATTGTTCTTAGTCTTTTAATTATAATTTTGCAAATGTAATTATAAAAGGACTAAAACAACCTTTCATGGTCCCCCATTCTATGTCTGCCAGTAGGAGGAGAATCAATTGCATATAACTGAAACTAGACCTAGTAGGCGTTGTGACCGAGAGAAAGAGAGAGAGAGAGAGCTCAAGTGACAACATTAGTCTGCTATAGCTTATACTGGATTTCAGCAACGCAGCCTAATCTCAAACTACCTTAATCAGGTTGCTACTTTTCTTTCTGGGAATTGTTTCTTAATTATGCATTTGAAAATTTGTTTAGTATTCAACTAATTCTCTTGAGAAGCAAGTGGTGGAGGTAAATAGGTCATTCTTTTTCATCTCCCTGAATTCTGGAATAAAATATTTTCATTTTCGTAGTTTAGATGAATTTTGTTGTCATTTCTCACACTAAATCTCTTGAAAATGTATATATATATATATATATATATATATCCATTTCTTTGGTGTTAGGTTTAGTTTCATTTTCTCTGTTTTTCTTGTATTTAAAATTTTTACAGTGAGGTCCACTTGGGACAGGGGTGATGAAGAATAGCTTGTCTGGACTTGAGTAAGAAGATACGAATGAGAGAGAGAGAGAGATGTAGCTAGCTGCTTCATGCTCCTCTCACGCACCATACCATGTCGTGATGTGGGTATGGATTGGGTCCACCGACCTGTAGGTCTCAGGTTCTCTCTCTCTACGTCGCTCTCTCTCTCTCTCTCTCTCTCTCTCTCTCTCTTCTCCCTGTCAATTAATTTTCAATTTTTGCATTTTATTTAAGGGAGGAAAAATTTTGAGAAATTCTGGAAAAAAGAAACTGTGAAAAAAATGACAATATATTTTTCTTTTTTTAAAAGATGCTGTGTACATGTGTTACTGTATGTGCATGACACCAAATCATAAAACCGTAACAGCATCACTTTCCTCAGAACATTTTCATTTAAAACAAGAGAAAAAAACTAGCAGAAGAAGAGAGAGAGAGAGAGAGCATCAAATGCTTTAGTTATGGAGTTGATTCCTTTTACTTTCTCTTCAACTCCCTTTATTAATATTTTCATCCTTTCAAGTTTTCCTTTTCTCTTCATTGGTTATTTGGGATAAGATTTGAGAAGGACTCATAAATTGATTGTGGGGTTTTTGCTGGATTCTAGCTAGAATATTTCAGATTGCTCTGAGAAATTGAAAGGGAAGAAATTAAGCGAAGAAGAAGAAGATTGATCAGAAAGAGATGGCTGCGTCTTCTTCATCGGGCGCACCGCTTTTCGGAATTAGAGAAGAAGATCAAAACCAGCAGATGAGGCAACAACATTCCTCCACAACACCAACCTCATCCATAGCTGCACCAGCTGCTCCACCTCAGAAGAAAAAGAGAAACCAACCTGGAACACCAAGCAAGTATCCAACAATTGATTCTCTTCTCTTTTCTAGCTACCTGTGGGCACGACTCTAAAATCTTCACATTAGTTAGGATCTACCTAACTAGCTATCCAACACAAAAAGCAAATTAAATTAAGAATATACATGGTTTAATTTATCTGAATTCAATTATGGCTAATATTCCTTCCCCTTTTTTCTCTCACAGATAAGGAACCCTAAATTGGCAGAGGAATTAATTCAAATGGGAAAACACGTATATATAGATAGATATAAAAGTTTCTAATTAGTTGGATTGAAAAAATGAGTACGCAAGTTTACAAAATATGAAGTGTCTTGTATGGTATATACAATTTTGTTGTTGTGATTAATAAAGTTATGAATTATCTAATTTGTTGTGGTTTGGCGTTTTTCATGAGAGAACAGATCCAGAAGCAGAAGTGGTAGCATTATCTCCCAAGACCCTAATGGCAACAAACAGGTTCATATGTGAGGTGTGCAACAAAGGGTTCCAAAGGGAGCAGAACCTACAGCTCCACAGAAGAGGACACAACCTGCCTTGGAAGCTCAAGCAGAAGACTACAAAAGAACCCAAACGCAAAGTCTATCTCTGCCCGGAGCCCACATGCGTCCACCACGACCCCTCTCGGGCACTCGGCGACCTCACCGGCATAAAAAAGCACTACTTTAGAAAACACGGCGAGAAAAAATGGAAGTGCGAGAAGTGCTCGAAGAGGTACGCCGTCCAGTCCGATTGGAAGGCACATTCTAAGACTTGTGGCACTCGGGAATACAGATGTGACTGTGGCACTCTCTTCTCAAGGTGATTATTCATCAACTCAAAATCAACTTTTTATCTAACTGGTTTTCCCATTAATCAATCATACGCGTGACGTGATCATATAGCAAGTTACTTTAAATTACAAAAATTTCTTAGTCGAAACTTGAAACTTGACCTTTTTTGTTCAAGTTATTTAGATTCCTCGAGTCGTGACAAGAGAAGAAAAATGTATGCGTTAATTTTTTTTTTTTTTTTTTTTTTAACGCTTATCCTGGCTAGCTGTGTTAATTTTCTTTTTCTTCTTCTTGTCAAATATGTTTAGTTAATTTTTAAAAATTTCTTTGGGGGAAGAGGAAAATGGAAGAAAAACATGCTCCCACGTGAATAATCTGTGGAAACTGCCATGATCGTGGTGGTTTCAGGATACATATATATGATTTTATCCCCAATTGGAGCGCCCCAATTTTTTTTTTTTTTTTTTTTTTTGAAGAAAATAATGGCCATATATGGTCGTCGTACTAGTGCTTGATTTAATTTCTTTTACTTTGTTTCACCTTGGAAACAACGCCAGTTTCGGTGTTTAGCAAAAGCTTTTTCATATTCACGTGTTGCTATGCCAATTGCTTTGTAATGTAAGAGAAGAGGAGAAAGAAGGACTGTACTTGTCCTGAGAGTGTTGTTGTTCTCTTATGACTCGTCACACTGCTACTGTTCGTTTTCATCATAACGCTTGTCTCTCTCTCTCTCTCAAAACTGGTTTTGAGTTGGCTTCAGGAGTCAGTTCATGACCTTGCAGGAGTTCGAAGTTGTGGTCAAAATTTAGGGTTTATAGAATTGCACGCAGTGTCATAATTTGGGGATGATGAGACTAAAGAGGAGCAGTAATTGAGGATATTGAGTGGTTTTGGGGATAATTCTCAACTGGAAAAACAGACATTTGAATCATGAGTTTTTGTCCTAATTGAGCATAAGTCCTCAAATGGGGTTTTTGATAGATTTACTTTCATCACTTCGACTACATTCTCATGTTGCATTTATTGAACTGCCAGTTCTTGAGATGGAATTTCTTGGTTGTTAATTAATTAATTTCATTCAAACATTTCTTTTCCATTTTTCAGAAAAATTCACACTTACATCCCCTTAGGAAATTTTCGTTCATTTTCCTTGTGCAATTAATTCTGTTATGGTAGATTAGTGCGTGTAATGGTGTAAGTCATTAAATGTGTCCTCCCCTTCAAAACTGTAATTACAGTGCATTTTAGTTTGCAACAAGTTCTTAATTAGTCTTTGTTTTTTGAAGCCTTCAGAGTTCACACATTAGGGTTTTGAATTTTTTTTTTTTTGTCAAACGATAGATTTTGTTAGATTAGTCACCAATGGGGTTCGAACTCCTGCCGTCATGCAAGGGCTTTGAAATTTGATGTCCACCTTCAGCTTTATCTGCAACTACAAATGACTACTTGTTGGTGTGATTAGATCGTCAAAATTCCAATTAAAGTCAACAAGTATACTACTAAAATTGGGGAGCTCACTTATTGATCTGAACAATATGGCTTCGTTTTAAGATAGAATTACATACAAGTTTAATTTTCTGAAGCCTAATGGGGCCATTAAGATTTTTTTAGTAAGTGGAATCAAATTTGGAACATCGGTTTCAAAGGTGAACTGCTTTTAACCCATTCAGATTTAAATGGCCTACTATATATATATATATAATATATATATATATATGGAGGTTGTGTCATTCATTTTACTCTTACTTACAATTCAATTCAATTCTACCTTTTCTATTTATGTATCAAAAATATTATTTTTACAATTTATTTGTACCATCCTTAATATCATATCTTTAATAAATGTAAGACTTACACGTGTTGGTGGGTTTTACCTTTATTAGAAAGATGATACGAATAATAATACAAATCGATGATAAGAGTAATACTACTCATCATGTATATAAATGCAATGCGATGTCTTTCGTGCATTTTCTAAGTTGATGTACTTTGTCATCAGAAAATGTTTCAACCTAGCTACCTAGTTGTACTGTTTTTTTATATTCACCATGAAATTAAAGATGATGTAGCGTGAGTACAGGCGCGACAGCTTTATCACGCATAGGGCATTCTGCGATGCCCTGGCTCAGGAAAGTGCAAGGCATCCACCCAGTTTGACCACCATTGGCAGCAGCTTATACGGAGGAGGAAGCCTCAGCAACACTGGCCTCGGCTTATCCCATCAAGTTGTGGGCCCTCCCCATCAACTGTCCTCACTCGACCACAGCAATCAACCCAGTGACATCCTAAGGCTTGGCGGATCTTCAGGTGCTGCTGCTGCCGATCGGGCCGGACAATTCGATCACCTCCTCTCATCCCCTTCAATGGGATCATCTTTCCGACCGGCTCAGTCGTCAGCAGCATCTTTCTTCATGACTGGAGCCTCTGATCATGACCAGTCCAACCAACAACAATACCATGACCAGGACAAGTCATTTCATGGACTCATGCAGTTTACACACCACTCGCCACATCAGCATCACTCCGGAGCAGGAACCAATCTTTTTAACCTACCTTTCGTTTCCAACAGCAACACCAACAGTACTAATAGCAACAGTGCCAACAACAGCAATTCACTAATTAGTCCCAACCATTTCAACACCAATGCAAACGGCAGCGCCAGCGCCACCGGAGGTGGCAATGAAGTCTCGAATAATCTCTTTGCCGGACACATAATGGGTGGCGGCGATCACATGAGCTCTGGAGTCCCTTCTCTCTATAGCAACAATGGCAATAGTCAGCAGCAGGCTATGTCATCGCACATGTCCGCAACCGCGCTGCTTCAGAAGGCTGCTCAAATGGGATCCAACACTTCAAACAACAACACCACCACCTCGCTCCTCCGTAGCTTTGGAAGCTCCTCCTTGACCACTACAAAACCTGATAGGCCCGGGATCCTAGTTCCTTCCAGCTTAGGTAGGATGTTCGGAAGTGACCAAACCGACCAGAGCCACCTCCAAGACCTAATGAACTCGTTTGCTAGCGGAGGGGGAGGCTCATCGATTTTCGGAAACGCGGCGTTTGGTGGATATGATGCATCGGCAAATAGGGCAATTAACATGGAGGATGCAAAGTTGCAGCAGCAGCAGCAGCAGCATATAGGGTTGAACAATATTGGAGGAGGTTCGGATAGGTTAACGAGGGACTTTCTTGGGGTTGGACAAGTAGTGAGGAGCATGAGCGGTGGATTTTCTCATCAGAGATCAGAGCAGCAGCATGGCGGCATGGAGATGCTGAGCTCCTTGGATTCAGAGAGCACTGCTGCAGCAGCTGCGCCGTCAACCCAATCTTTTGGAGGAGGCGGGAATTTTCAGTGAACAGAAAAGTACAGAGATGGTGAGAGAAATAGAGGTACGTGAAAATTAGTGACGATTGACCTAAGGCTAAAAATGATTATATTTTATGAAAAATTAAAGAAAATAGTTTGAAAATTTTGAATTTTAATAATAAGATAAAATAAAGAATAAAATGAATAGTATCAAGATTGACTTTTAATGTACAAATATAGTTTTTTATTAAAATAAACTCATAATCTTTTCGTTAAAATTTCCTATATTTTATTTAAGGAGTTAGTTTTTTTCGGTAATTGTGTAATTTTTGTACACTGATACTACTGTTCACTGGCTTTTTTGTACTTTAAAAAAATGAAAATTGAAGAAAAATGAAAAATGAAATTCTGACACAATGTCTTTGCATGGTTACATAAAATTGAGGCCGTCAGGAGTGATGACCTGGAGGACACATTGGGTGTCTTGTCCTTTTGTTTTTATAAACATGATACTTCTACTCCTTTTTAACTTTTATTTTGGATGGCAGAGAGAGTCACGAGTGCTGAACTTGTAAAGTAAGTGCATTGCATGAATGAGAGAAGATATTGCATGAATGAAAAGATGCATTTTCCAAATTGTCTTCTATTTTTACTCATCACATGCCGGAATTATTTGTTTACTGTTAATCTATTTCATTATAACTTCCCTTTTGATTTACATATTTTAAAATTTTCCTTTTTGTTAAGATTCTTAATTAAGAACATCTTTTATATATGATGAGATTGACTTCTCTCCTATGTGTTGAATATTATTTTCTTGGAAAAATAACCTAAGTCGTTCCTTTGTTTCTTTCTTTTCGTCAAGTACTTAAAAGTTTCATTACCCCTAGGTTTATACTAAGAATTACAAGTAAAATGTTTTTAACTTTACATTTTGAATATATTAACTATTTCTTTATTTTCGATTGCCAGGAATTGAAGTGATTATACTAATTAAGTTGGTTAGGATGTGTCTATATATGGGACTTTTCTGGTTCACATTATCCATGACTATGCTTATTTCTTGTTCACAATGTAATAATATACCTTAATTATAAGAAAATAGAGTTTTTACAATTATCATATAAATTTGGGTTTGTTTTCAGGGAATATAACTTGTTTCGGACTAAAGCCATATGCATCCTAAACACCGTGAAGCTCTGGCTATATGAGACCAAGGAGATCAGTGCAGATTAATTAATGGTGTTTGAGCAGTCTTTTTTTTTTTTTTTTTTTTTTCGTTCAAGCCTCAAAAGGTGTATTGGGGGCCGGGAGTTTAATTTTCAAAGTCAAAGAAGGCTTAGAACTTTTTCGTAGTTTAAATTTAAATGACTAGCTAGTCGACAGTTTGTTCTGTTTCATGTTTAACTGATGTTCCTTTATATATTAGCATTTCAATAAAATTGAAATCCATAGAAACTTTCGTGAAGTATTTTGACTAGACATGCAACCATGTCATAATTTATGTTGACTTATAACGTTGAAACATATATACTCAGTATTCTTTTCTTCGTTCCAGTGGCATTAAACATGATTTTTTATACCAAGTTGATAAGTCAAAACAAAGTGTATTTGTTTAACTTGATATATTTTTATCTTATATATGGGCTATGGAAATAATATAGTTCAAATTTTCATTCTCCAATACATACATACATAGGGGCAGGTCCATTCGTCCATTCGATGGTCTTAGGATCATCTAAAAGTCCGAAGAAGCGTCCCTAAGGACTTTCGAGGATCACCCAACAATCTGGGCAGGTGGAAGAGAGAAGACCATTTTGGTTGTGCAGATGTTGTGCAATACAAGCTTTGAACTAATAAAAAAGATCTAATTTCAAACGAAGGGGAACACACAAAAGACCACCATGGCTCTGTTGTGTACTTGGACCTCGGTTCCAAAAGACTTTCTCTCTTCATTTCCCACATGACCAACTCCTCTTCTTTTTTTCAATTGTTGTCCAATCAGGTTGTGGCACTTAACATTTTAATTAATAAAGGGATGGTGTATTACGCAACCAATCTTTTTATACCATATGTTTGACATAAAAAAATAAAAAAAAAAAAAAAAAAAACAATTACAATAAATTTATACGACCTCTGAAAAATATTTAGTAAAGTAATACGAACTAGTAATCACTTGAACTTTCATCTCATACCATCAAATTTACTAAAATATTAAATAAAAAAAATTATGATATTTTTGTATTTTATATGTTAAATAATATACATAACTAAAACAATAAACTCAATTTCTCAATGCAAGCATAGTTTTTTTGCCTGTATATGGATGCTTATTTATATGGTATATAATAAATTTACTTAAATTCACCTAGTCCGCCTGGGGTCTTGTCTATGCCTCATCTAGGCTAATAGGCATTAGGCCCTAGCTCGCCACCTGACTATAGCGCCTAGCGTAGCTTGATTAGGACCACCCGATGTTAGAATCCACCACTATATACATACATACATACATGCAAGCTTACATACATACGTATCCACTGTTTGAAAAAATCCCCGCCTAGCACTGCCTAGGCGCTAGGTGGTTGGCCACCGTCCCTATTAATGCCTAGACGTTTGAAAATCAAGAAAGGTTGCCTAGTCCTCCTTAGGCATATCCACCTAGCCTGCCTAGGCGCCCGTCTAGCCCACGTAGTCCTGACTAGGCATCTGTCTAGGTCGTGACTCTCACTTAGACAAAAAATCAATAATTTTATTTTTGTTGGATGAGCACTCATTATCCGTCTAGCCGCAGAGGTGCTAGACTCTAACTCACCGCCCGACTAGTGCCTAGCATCTTTTAGAACTTTGCATACAACTAGCAAAATTAAAAAATAAATTCTTATGTTCGCCTTGATTTTGTTTGGAAGTCAATTTTTTTATGACACAAGGCATCTTATTCGGGAAAAGAAGACTCTTGTGCAATCGGCATCTTAAATGATGATAAAATGTTTGAATCGTAATTTACCATAGGAATTATATCACGACCTAATTGAAAAGAAGACGACAATATATTTTTGGATAAGGGAAGAGGACAATAATTGTGTTTGAACATTTTCGTGCCTCTTAGCCTTAGTTTGGTACTGAGGTGATTCTGTAAAAAGTGGCTATCAAAAAAAGCTGGGAGCTTTTTTATGTTTGGTAAACATTCAGCTTCAGCTTTTTTTCACAGTTTTGGGTGAAAAAAAGCCAAAAACACAAAGCTGCAAAACCCAGCTTTGAAAAACCAGCTTTTTATAACATCTGTTTTACATAAAAGTTTATCAAACACTATAATACCGTTTTTTTGTTTTTTTTCAAAAGCATTTTACAAAAAAGTTTACCAAACACTCTGCTGCTTTATTTCAAAGCTGCTTATTCTCATAGTACAGCAGAAGTAGTTTTTTTTTAAAGCACAGCAATACCAAACCAACCCTTAAGTCTAAGAATACTTTAGTAGCTGCGTTCTGGACGAGTACAGGAAAGTGCAAGATTTGTATATTACCGAAGATTAACATATATATTGTTCATAATATTGGATTTGACGTGTGCCTTGTAAGAGGTATCAGCAAAATTTTGCACGCAGTTACAAATAAAGTTCACACTCATTTGTACAATTAGATACTAACTATCAACATCTTATATAAGTGCTGTGGCAGTAGTACTAACGCAAAGTTTTAATTAGCGACACATATTTCTTATAATCTAAGCTGATGACTATTTAGGTTATATATCAATGACAAACCAATACTACAAAAATTCAATGAAATTGGAAATCGATTAGTTATCTAACTGTAAACTAATAAATAAAGAAACACAATGTTGTCGACAAACAATGAAATATTCACAACAATCAATTTTCGATTTGAGTGAATTTTTACAATAACGATTTATGAACGGTGACTTAAAACATGAACAATTCAAATCATGAACTTACTTTGTAGAGCCAAGTCAAACTAATAGTTAGTGCAATGTTAAATTATTAAATGATTATTGCTTGATGTCTATATATATATGGAGATGAGAGAGAGAGAGAGAGAGAGAGAGATGTGGTCAATTCTTTGTATTAATAAGAGACAAGTTTTGAAGCCTAATCCCACCCTCATGGACTCAACGTAGGGTGGAAAGAAATACAGAGATCGACAAGATTGTATTATTTCTTTTTGTATATACACATAAAAACATAAATCCACGGAACTCTGTTGGCATCTCAGTTGAAACATGTATGTTTCTCTCTTCTCTCATTTCATTTGGTTGACTGATCAATTCTTAATATATGGCATAAGTTCCATGAGAGTGTCCAAAGTTGTATCCAATTGTCTCCTCCTAATAGCAAGGCCGGGAATTGTGTGATTATTTTTTTCGCGCACTTTCAACGCGTCTTTCCCTCAAGAGGGACAAGGTTGCACCACTATTAACCACAATTAGTATTAATGTTGTCTTCAACTTAACAATATTATGTCTAATATATTAAGATGAGGGAGGCTCAATGAACCTATACAATTTCGAGTTTTATCTTTAGGAAATTATTAGAAACCCCATGTAAGAACAATTTTTCTTCATTCACCACCTAATTTCCATTTATTTTCCGGTTCTTAATTTGAAATTTGGCATCCAATATAGTGTTGATAAATACCCAAATAAAATACATAGGTACCTTAAAAAAATACACAATTAAGTACGTAGAGAAGGTTGTAGGGAGTAACTTTGTAACTCGATCGACTGAAAAATTTGAGTAGAAACGCTAAAAAACTAGTGGTCATTGAGGGTTTCTAGAGTAGAACTCTTTATCCCTCAAAAGACACAACTGGGGATTAAGGATTTTGGAGAAATTGTCTAAGACAGAGTTTCTCTTCAGCTTTATTTTATTTGCTCAATTCTATTATTAAGGAAATTGAGGTTTCTACCATAAAATTAATTGATAATATAAGAAGTAACTCAAACTTACTTATTAGTCCATGCAAAATTCATTCCCCTATACATAAATTTACTTATTCTTTTCAGGCTAGTTAAATGTGTTAATGAATATTCATGAACTAAATAATTTTGTTTATATTTTCTTCCAAACATATTTGTTTTTAGTCAAGAGAATTGTTATTAGCACTGGAAAAATCTCATTCTATACTTCAAACTTTCTAAATTAGGAAAGAAAAATACACTTGTGAGGAGTGTAAAATGAGATTTTGAGGAATAACACTTCCCTTAGTCAAAATAGGGCAGGAATTCAAATTTGAATTAAAGAAGAAAAAAGGCATCCACACGCTGGAGTCACGGGATGATTATATATGATTCGTGATAAGATAGAAGAGACAACAATTACGACAATAGTAGACAGCCCTATCATCATCCATCAATTTCCTAATAATTACATAAGGTTAAGTTCTATATAGTCGAATATTTCATAATATATATCATTTCTGCTCCTGCCTCTGGTTGAGCAGTATCCTATATTACATGGCCAGCAGTTATTCTTCAGTCTTTCAGTCGGCCCCAAACCCAATGGCAACACAAATGCATATGCTCGTAAATTAAATTAATTAAATTTCTAAATTCAAAGTAAAATATCTAATTATATATCTATCATCAGTAGCTGTGAAGTTAAATATTCAAATACCAGCTTAAGGATCGAATTAGAATGGAAAGAATTGTTGGAAAACGCCAGGGAGGGGCGATTAATTAATTAATTAAATACTACAAAACCAAGCAATGTTTTGTACTTGGTTGTAGAAGTGGGCATTAGGGTTAGGTATTAGCTAGGTAGCCGAACAAATTCGTGTGCGTAGTTTATATTGTGGGGTACCGGGCAACTTGGCATACATAACTCGTCGCCCCGAGCTTCTCCTCTAGCTCTTATAAATTCAAATTATTTTATGTGATTCTTTGTTCTTGATGCATGGTAATACCAATATTATATTATTAGTTAGGGATATCTCGTAACCAGACAAATAAGAAAATAAACTCTCACTTGTCCATTATGTTGGAATGTATCCATTTTGAATTTTCTGGGCAAACAGCACCTGCTCAGCTGCTAGCCCATGTCTGCTGCTGTGACATTCTGATTACATATATAAATCAAACATGGCTTACCTCATACATATGTGCAATATTAAATTAATTAATACATATTTGAGAAAAATATTAGAGAGATTAATTTTTTAGACTATTTTGTAAATCACATGATATGACGGTTGATGGTGAGACTTCTTCTTTTAAAAAAGAGCCCAACATACATCTACTACCACATCATGTGGTTTACAACAAATAGTCTGAAAATTTTCCCACATTTAATTATGAGCATTGATCTCATTACTAATTAATAATTAGATGCTTATATTTTATTGGGAAGTGTTATTGGCACTCCAAAAATCTCATTCTACACTCCTCACAAGTATATTTTTCTTTCCTAATATAGAAAGTTTGGAGTGTAGAATGAGATTTTTGGAGTGCTAATAACAATTCCCTATTTTATTATGTGAAAATTAAGCATGCACCACTTGGTCAACAAAAGAGGGAGGATCAATATTAATTTAGGATTCCTTTATCGCCAAATATATAAGCAAGTAATTAAGGTACCACATTATACATAATATAGTACCGATGAAAGTACTCGACATCCATTAGTGTGGTCCTTAAGGCATGCACATATAGAAATAAAACTCAAGAAACCTTAATGCTTGGGGGTCAAGACAACTAGAGTTGGTAATTAATCGATACCGTTTCTTTTTTTTTTCGTACATATTAAAAGGATCGACTCTCTCACCTACTATACCATGAATGTAATTTTAGTTCCTCGATCTAGCAGGCTCACTGTAGTGTAGTGCCTCCAAAGAGTTGACTTGCCTGCGTTGACTTCAACTCTGGGTCCAAGGAGTTGATCATATTGATGCCATGATGTTGTTGTTGTTGATGATCTCTCTGTGAGTATCCATGGCCACCATTCATGTTTCTTACCATGCCTCCAACACCAAGAAAATCCAAGGTCAGTTTATCAGACCCTCCAAAATTTACACTCAAATTTTGGTGCAACTTAGCCTCATCATAATTAGGGTTATTATGCTGTTGATCCATTGCACTAACTCTAGTAGCAGTAGTGCCGCTACTAAACCCGCCAAAGTTGTTATGATCCAGTCCCCCGCCTCCGAAAATCGAGGAGTTGCCATTTGCAAGAGAGTTCATTAATCCATGAAGATGGTTTTCATTTTCCACCTGCTGTGATGATCTCAAGTGGTGTTGTTCACCCCCATTAGTACTGTGATGATGATCACCACTAAAACTGACTCCAACGCTCGAGGGCGCCGACACTAGTTGCCTTACGGATTTAGCTGCTCTTGTTGACGAATTACCTAATCCCCTAAGCAAAGACGAGCTTTCGGTGCTTGTAGTCGAACCCATTTGAGCAGCTTTCTGAAGCAATGCAGTGGCAGACATGTGCGGAGCCATGCCACCTTCGTGTTGCATCGAATTCCCATAGAGAGACGGTAGAGAACCCGACCCAATTTGATGGTCATTACCCATGCTAAACCCTTGGCCACCGCCATTACCATCACTAAACTGATGATCAGGAGGAGTAATGCTGCTACTGGTACCATTGTTAGAAAAGAAGCTCAGGTTAAAGAGATTCGCAGCGCTATTTGATGAGGGTGAGCTGTTGTTGTTGTTAGGGTTGCTCTGGAGATCAGGAAGTTGCATTAGTCCATGTAATACCTTGCTTGGAAATTGGTGCTGGTCTTGAAACCCTTGCTGGTTAGCAATGTCTCTCATGAAGAAATTGGGGGAATTAGGCATGGCTTGTGATCCAAACGAAGACGGATTTGATGGCGGGATGAGGTGCTCAAACTTTGCGCTGCCGCTACTACCTAACCTCAACATGTTGTTAGGGAGGTGGGTTGAGTTTTGGAGTGAGGGGATTTGGGATGGACCTAAGCTCATGTGGTTGTTTCCATAGAGGCTACCGCCCATTGTGCTTAAGCTTGAAGGATGCCTTGCACTCTCCTGAGCCAGTGCATCACAGAAAGCCCTATGAGTGATAAAGCTGTCCCGCCTGTGTATCACGCAAAGAAATGGAAAGGAAAGGCCTCGTCATATCATATCATCTCATGGACATATATATAGAGTAAAATGTATGTATATATAGAAGAACAAGACATATATATCATATATGTGGTGGTGACATGCATATATGATGCATCCAGATAAAAACAATAGTTGAAGAATACCAATCATTTTTACCCGTTTACGTTAAAATGTAACTAGTGCTTGAGAAAGAAAAAAAGTTCTAGTGCTAGTAAGTAATAAACTTGAACAAAAAAAAAAGGCAAGAAAAAGTTTATCTTTCCATGACAAATTAGGAGTACAAAAGCATCTCCAATTATACTTTCTATTTTACGTTAAAATTTAACTAAATGTTGGAAAGCTATTTTAGAATCTCCCTAAAAAATTTCTACTTTAATCATATTTTCTGGGAGTCATAATAAATATGAACTAATAAAAAAGTTACTTAAAATATTATTAAAAAATAGTAATCACTGCTAGGAGTTCTTAATTAGTAGCCCCTTTCTCACTCCGTAGAGTTAGTAATTCCTTGAAATTTTGCTGTCTTAGGAGCATGACAGGGAGTGTGATTGAACATGAAAATATTGAATCCTTCCTAAATTTTAGTTAGGAACTCATTTAGAGAGCCCATGGAGGATACTCAAAATTACTAAGGTGAATAAATATACGGAAAAAAGGCCCGAAAAATTTCACTACAACAGGAAACCATGAACGGTCCATTATTCAATTAATTTTTCACAGATAATAGTCACAAGTCCACAAACCTCGTCACCCTAATCATTGAACGACTGACTTGACTTGTAAAATTTCAAATCAGAATAAGATCTGTCAAGCGATTTTCTAGCTAGAAATATGGTGTTGGACCAGTACTGCGAGAGGGGGGGGGGGGGGAGAGAGAGAGAGAGAGAGAGAGAGAGAGAGCATCTATCTAAATCTGAATGTTGGTCCCATGATCAGTATACGTTTTAATTTCATGGGAAGGAGTACCTGGACTGGAAGGGAAGAGCTGTAGCTCTGATTGCATGAATCCAACGAGGAAGAGAACAAAACTCATGAGTGACATATACATCCAACTCGTTATATGTGACAACAAAGATAAAGCCTAGCTAGCTTATTATCTCCACCTCCCCTCCCCTCCAGTAACATTGATATTATGCTCTTTCTTCTCCTTCCATAGTTCCACTACTTCCACTTCCATATATATATGTTCTGTTGATAGTCTGTATAATCCGACTCATCATTTTTACTACTACACTCGTGAGTATCAAAAAGATGAAAGAAAAATGGGCGTTGTTTTCAAGGATCGATAAAAAGATGATCTTTCTTGTTTTTCTTTCTGTAATTCTGATTGAAACCTCCATATACATACATAACCTTGTAAAGCCAGTTTCTCACAGATTTCTCACTTGGAAACAGTCCTGCCATATTAACCCAGACACAGAAACAAGCACAATCATGGGGAAAGACTGAAAAATCGTTTGATTAATTTCAATAGAAGGATCACTATAGTCGTATGCGAGACACCTATTTTTACCCAAGAAGAGAGGATTATTAGTATTACACCCATAAACCTCCACCTGTACCTCTCTCGATCAATTTTGAGAACATCTCCAAAATGAATGTATGTATCGATGAATGAATGATTGAAAATCAACAATAATTAGGAGCTAGTTACTAAATCAGTAACTACTAATTAATTTACCTTGAGAAGAGAGTGCCACAGTCGCATCTATATTCCCTAGTTCCGCACGTTTTAGAATGAGCCTTCCAATCCGATTGAACAGCATACCTCTTGGAGCACTTGTCGCACTTCCACTTCTTCTCGCCGTGCTTTCTAGAGTAGTGCTTTTTTATGCCGGTGAGGTCTCCGAGAGCTCGAGAGGGGTCATGGTGAACGCATGATGGCTCCGGACATAGATAGACCTTGCGTCTAGGTTCTTTGTTAGTCTTCTGCTTGAGCTTCCAAGGCAGGTTGTGTCCTCTTCTGTGGAGCTGTAGGTTTTGCTCCCTTTGGAACCCTTTGTTGCACACCTCACATATGAACCTGTTTGTTGCCATTAGCGTCTTGGGAGATAGTGCTATAACCTCCGCATCTGGATCTGCTAGGGAAAAATGCCAAATAAAATTAACATTTTTCCTTTGGTAAAATTTTAAAGAATACCCAAATTATAATAAAAGAAAACTCATGATATTTAACAAAAAAAATAATAAAGAAAGAAAGAAAAGAAATCAGAGCCAGATAGAGGAGTAAGTTCAAAGAAACTAACAACCATTAATTCATCAAACCAAATAGTTCACAAAGGTTCGCTTAGGGTTTCTTTTTTGAAATCTTATATAAATCGATAAATGTGTACAAAGAATTGACGATCATGTAAAGTAAAGAGGTACTTGCTTGGATTTCCTGGTTGATTTCTCCTTTTCTTTTGAGGTGGTGGGGCTGCGCCTGTGGCTGCGGTGGTAGCATTTGAGGAAGGCGGAAGGATTGACGAAGTCATCTGGCTTTGGTTTTCTTCTCTGCTACTACTTCCAAAGAATGGCAACGATGAAGAATGGTAAGGAAAACAATTAATATTATTCTTAATTATTCAGCTGTTGTTTTGAGCTATACGCACTCAAAAACGATCAAAGACTCAAGGTACTATATAACCGACCCACAGAAAAAATTTAGACTCTTAGCTCCTCCAATACTAGAGACATAGTAAACCTAGCTATATAGCTAATTAAGTAAAATAAAAATTCTCTGAGTCATACGCTCTTTTGCTAGGTAGCTACAGCTTCAGGGATGCAGAGAACAAATAATTATGAGGAAAAAATTAATAAGCATCTTCTGGGACGACAGCTAAAATCCGGAAAAGACGAAGATATATATACAGAGAGAGAGAGAGAAGACGCAGAGAGTCAAGGCGGCCTTTGTCCAGCTTCTTCTTTTTCTTCCTCTCCTTAGCTAGAGAGAGAGAGAGAGAGTTATCTTGTTTTTTTTAGATGATGATATAAAAAATAAAACTCATCTCATAAAACGCTCTATTGCGTTCCTCTCATTTAATGTCATGCACATACATACACAACACATACATGCACTCTCTCTCTCTCTCTTACTATAAATTAAAAATATTTACCAATATTAAAATTGACAAAGAAATTAAAATATCGGGGATGAATAGAGAGGGAGGGAGAGGAGGGGCGGTGGGGTCGGTGTTCATGCTGCTCACGCAGCCTAATGTATGTCGTTTTATGCGGGGACTGTAAAATGGGGGCCACCTTTGGTCTCTGTAGGCCTACCTCTTCCCATCTCTCTCTCTCTCTTTCTCTCTCTCTCTCCTCTTGTTTCCTGTCTTCTACCCTTTACATTCAGAAAACCCTTCATTCTGCAACCATCATATATGCCTTCTCTCTCTCTCTCTCTCTCTCTCTCTCTCTCTCTCTCTCTCTATGCGCTCATCTCTACGTTGTACCTGTTCTGTTCAATACAAATGCGTGACACCTTTCAACATTGTTCGAGATTTTGGTTCTTCGACGAAAAAAAAGAACGTTAAACTTTGAGAGTCTTGAATTTATCTATTTGAAGACAGATGTGAGACTCACTGGTTTGAATTTTAATCATTGATAAATAAGCATGTCAGGAAGAAACTGCTATTGCCATCTGTCGCCAACATTTGTATACACATTTCCTGTAATTTGTGTAATCTTATTGTCTCACTTTTAGGATATACATGTATATATGTTAAACTAGTTAAGAGAACTTTGAACAGCCAAATTTTCTCAATGAACGATGTTGTTGGAGTGAAATACCCTAAAGCCAAGTTGAGACAATTACAAGATGAGATGTAATTCGACAAGTATTGGAAGGCCATAGAGGCCATACCAGGTCAGATCTCATGTTAGGTTGGCTAGTATATGAAAAGTTCAATTACAATTAGATGTAGCATTTTAAGAGTTGAAATTGTAAACAAATCAAAGAAACACGTTAAACTGATTGCAAGAAAGCTTATGGCAAATAGGAAAATAATCTTAATCCTTATTTGGAGAAACAAGAAAGCAATAATCAAATAGGAAAACAATCGTAATCCTCATCATAATAGTAAACTTATGACAAAATATTAAAGATATCATAATAGTAAACTTATGACATAAAATGTCAAAGATACCATATACCATAACATAAAAATAAAACAAATAACCCACTTGCTAACTTTTCTAACAAAAATTGACTTTGCAGTAAAATAACATTTTATCATCAGACTGATTTACAGAGAAATTTCGTAAGTGACTTAGTCCACACTGATTAATGAAGTAAGTACTTGCGTCTATCTCTGTCATAACCAGACGAAATTGATTATACCACGATTGAAACAACATCAAAAGAACTTCTTCTCCGTATAAAGGAAGATGATCGATGGTTCCTTTGACAGATATTTCTTGTGTTAATTAGAAAATAAGATATTATAACCATATAATCTATACAAAATAATTAAGCATTAAATACATAAAACCCCCCAACGTTTTGGTGTGATTCCAAATTAGTCTCAACCGTTTCAAACATTCCTAAAGAGTACCCAACATATAGGAAATATCACTTTTATTATGTCCCAAGGTAGGAGAACCATTAAGTACCTACGTGGCATTCATGGTCAATTTTTTTTTTTAAATGACGTGGACAAATCCCATGAAATAACTTTTAATTACGTGGCATTAATTCATGGTCAAATTAGTCACAACCTTCAAAAAAATACATTTCTCCTTCTCGCACTCTCTCATCCTTCCCCTCTCTCTCAATCTGTCATATTTGCAGGGGGATTGAAACTCCTCCTTCTTTATCATCCTCTGCAGAAAAAATCAAATCCAAAATACACAATGATCGCCTAATCAAACATGGCCGCAAATTGGTACAGTATTCGAATTCGAACATTTCGCAACAACCTCGAGACCAAAAGCCTCACTCTTTCTTGTGCTAATTTTTTATTTTTTATTTTTTTATCTCTTTTTAGTTTCTTTTAATCTGGGGTTTTTATTAATTAGTTCTTATCATGAAATTCATGAATTTGTATGATCTCAAGCCAAATAAGATTTGGGAGCAATTTGGCATTGAAAGAACTATATATGCACAGGACTAATCCGTATAAGATTTGGTTTGTACAACAAGATTTACAAGGAATATAAATCCGTGAATGACTATGAGTATAACAAGTGCTTCTCCCAATAAAATTGGGACCGAGAAACAATAGGCCTAGCAGCTTTCTCATGATCACTCTTGGACTGTGCAGTAGACAGTCATTGGCATCCTCTCGTCGACATCCAATCTCCAAGCCATGTCACCACAATTTTTTTTTTTTTTTTTTAAAGTCTGCAACCCTACGTGCAGTTTCAGGCGAAAGAGAAGTTGGGGTTTCAAAGAAGTATTTTGAGGTTTGGCCTCCATCAAGATCTATTTAATGGGTGGGAATTAGGTTTGGAAATTATCACGTCATTTAAAAAAATCTAACCATGAATGCCATGTAGGCACTTAACGATTCTCTTACCTTGGAACCTAACATAAGTGATATTTCCTATACATTGGATACTCTATTGGAATGCTTGAAAAGGTTGAGATTGATTTGGAATCATACCAAAAGGTTGGGGGATTTTAGGTACTTAATTCCATAAAGCGGATTTGTCTTCAACAACAAAGAAAAGGATACAATAACTTTAAATTTAAATGGCGCGAGAGAGAGGTTAGATGTGTCTGGAAGGGATACAACAAATTTAATTCCTTCTCAATTGAACTTCTCTAATTTTGATTATGGATTTGTAAACATGTCATTTGACTACTTCTGAACTATGTGGAAAGACACTTCTAAAAGAGAGAATCTAAAATAGTTAAAAGAAATAAGGGTGGAAAGGTTAAAGCTGCATGCCGAAATGTTTCAAACGAGCACTTTTCTCCAAACTTAATTGGTTGCATTTTGATTTGAGAGTAGAATTGTTGTTACCTGCAAGCAAAGGAAGCTTCATTCAGTTGCCTTACCCATCAAACAAAGGTGGCCGTCTTACTCTCTCTTTTTTTCCTTGAAATTTATCCGGGAAATGGACAATTTTTGTTGGCTTGTGAGGTAGAGAGCCAAACTCTTTGGTATTTCCTCTGTCAACCTCAGTACTGCATGACTTAGCTAGTAGTCATGTAATATAATCAACCTCTTTATTCCCTTTATGCAATAATGTACATGTTCAGCAATAAGTGGGACCAAAGGAATACATCTATTACATTATCTATATATATATATATATATATATATATATGTATGTATGTATGTAAATTGATCAAGGAAAAAAGAGAACTTCCTCAGGAGTAGTCAGGGAGGTTTCTGTCCTTAAAGACCCTTTTAGGAGGGCATCATATATATATATATATATATATATATTTTATATCGCACATTAGGACCCACCTCTTAGACATGGTGGGCTATCATGAAATATGCAACCGAATAGACGGACATGATTTTTTTTTTTTTTTTTTTTAAAGAAAACTGTGACAGTACGAGAGGAATTTTATTGATATCGAAAAAAAAAGATACACTTAGTCAGGGGGATATAAACCTAACCTCTCGTAATACAAGAAAAAAGGATAAAAAAACATGAAAAGAAGGAGGGACATAAAACTTAACCTTCTAGAAACAAAAACAACAAAAATAAAGGAATAACCCTTCTAAAGCCAAACCTAAAGGTCTAAACCTGTACAACAGAAAAAGCAACATCCCAAGGTTAAGATAAAAAAAGAGTGAAACAATCCTGTATGTCAAGATGCACATTAATTTGAGAAGCGGAAGCTAGGCAAACCAACATAGTCTGAAAATAAAGCAACACAAATTGTCATTGGAGGGGAATCGTGTCATAGCAAAGTTGGAGAAGACAAGCCTATATTAGCAAAATTGTCCGCAATTACATCCTTCACGACATATGTGAGAGGCATAGAAAGTCATCTTCCGAATGTGGTCCAAATAAGTAAACCATTGCATACAAAGAGGTCAAGGACAATCAAATTTAGTCGATTGGCGGGCAAAAATAACACTAGAAGAGTCATTTTCCAACCAAAGATAATGCCAACCCCATTGATATGCAAACTCTACACCAATAATAATTGCTGAAAAGTCTGCAAAAAAAGTTGCAATGAACAATCCCTTGGCAGAAACCACCAAGAAACTGACCATAGCAATCCCAAAAACTCCTCAAGCAGCAGGACCAGGATTTCCTTTAGACGGACATGATTTGCTCGACTAAAAAATTTGCCATTCTTGTTCAAGTTAGGAGACGGAGTACTCCCAAGTCATTTCTAGTCAAATTAAAATAAGGGTACAATGCTATCCATACACCCATTTTTACTTTTCACACAACTTTCTTAATTTTCGACCGTCAGATCGAATCAATCAAAGAAGATCAATGATAAAAAAATTACAAGAGTGTGTAAGAAGTAAAAATAAGTGTATAAATATCACTATCTTAGAATAAACCTAGATTTGTGGCACTCATAAATACATGAATAGTAGAATACTATTCATTGGGAATAATTTGTCAACTTAATACATTTTTTTTTCTTTCAAAACCCTTAGCAGTCACGATGAAATTTTAGTGAGAAGAGAATTGAAGAAGTTATATAATAAATTGAGAGACATAAACTTTACCTTTCAAAACACATTAAACTCAATCTTTTTTGAAACCTTAAGGGAGTTGATAATTCCATTGGGAGCTTTATATGTAGAGACAAAAAGTTTTACTATATTTCAAGGAACTCCACTAGTTTTTAAACATGTCAAGGAGAAACAAAACATAAAAACAACTAAAGCCCAACCCAAAAACATAGAAACAATGTTTTAAAATATCAGCTGTACCCCTAAGGTTTTATGCTGTTAATAAAACTCAGCCCTCACAACTCCAATAAAATTAATATTTGCCAACCCATCTTCGACTATTTTTGCAGAGTCAGTTCTACCCGTCATCGACTGTTTTTGTAGAATCGGTTTAATTCGTCCTCG